AGTCATCGAATGCGAAGGGCTACCACGTAATTTAGTGTAATAGGGAATGTTGTTGAAACTCCCATTTTAGTCTAACTCAAGACGAATTTCCTTTTTTGTGAATGTTGATGTGTATTTTTGAAAGCTGATCTATTTGGGAATCAGTAGAGCTTCATTAGGCCGTTTAGTATTTACCTGTTGTGACCTCTGTTGTTGGATACTTCGTTGTCGGAATTGTAGTCTTTTGAGTGGTTTGTCGTGTTGTTTGTTCAGTGGAGCTTATGGAAGTCGGTATGGTTGTCTTTTTGGTGGTCTGTTCTGTAGTTATTTGCGTAGAGATGTGTGTTGTTGGGACTTTAGTTGTTGGAAGTGTTGTCAGTCTTGTTGTTGGTCGTGTGGTTTTTTCTTAGGTAGGAAATGTTGTTATTGATGATGTGCTTAATTCATATGCAGTGCAATTTAGTAATACATAAATATGTTAAATGATACATAAATATGTATGTTGTCCAGTGCAATAGAAATAAATGGGAGGAAACACAAGTGTACTATTTAGAAATAAGATGTTACCTGTGGTGACTTCTGTGGTGGGAAGAAGTGTTGTTTGAGCTGTAGTGACCAGAGTTGTTTTCTGTGTGGTTTCTATGGTAGAATGAGGAGTGGTTTCCTGTGTGGTTTCTGGTGTAGTTTTTTGAGTGGTGACAATAGTAGTTGGTGTCGTTGTTTTCTCGGTGGTGTGTGCTGTAGATTTCTCTGCAGCAGAGAGGTGTTGGTTGACAGATATTTGATATGCTTTGAAAGTGCTCTATAATAGTTTTTCGTGCAGTTAAATCATGTTCATCTATTTGTTGTTTCCAAATATGCATGTTAAATAAATAAATATGTATGTTGTCTAGTGAAAAATAAATGGGAGAAAACACAAGTGTACTATTTAGACATAAAATGTTACCTGTGGTGACTTCTGTGGTGGGAAGAAGTGTTGTTTGAGCTGTAGTGACCAGAGTTGTTTCCTGTGTGGTTTCTTCTGTAGTGCGAGGAGTGGTTTCCTGTGTGGTTTCTGATGTAGTTTTGAGAGTGGTGGGTAGTGTAGTTTTTGCTGTAGTTTGCGTTGTAGTTTTCGCTATGGCAAATGTAAAATTAGGGTCCCATATCTATTGTTTGGTCATTAGAATTTACAAACTATAATGGTTTGTTAATAATACATAAAAGATAGATTGCACATGTTTCCATATAGTTGTTAGTACTTTGTATGTATTGCATTTTTTACGAGGACGCTAGTCATTAAATGCGAAGGGCTATCAAGTAATTTAGTGTAATAGGGAATGTGGTTGAAATTTTAATTTTAGTCCAACTCAAGTCGAATTTCCTTTTTTTGAATATTGATGTCTTTTTATTTTGTCTATTTTTTAAGGGCTGATCCAACTGCGAATCAGTAGAACTTTATTAGGCCGTCTCGTATTTACCTGTTGTGACCTCTGTTGTTGGATACGCCGTTGTCGGAATTGTAGTCTTTTGAGTGGTTTGTGGTGTTGTTTGTTCAGTGGAGATAATGGAACTCGGTATGGTTGTCTTTTTGGTGGTCTGTTCTGTAGTTATTTGCGTAGAGATGTGTGTTGTTGGGACTTTAGTTGTTGGAAGTGTTGTCAGTCTTGTTGTTGGTCGTGTGGTTTTTTCTTAGGTAGGAAATGTTGTTATTGATGATGTGCTTAATTTATATGCAGTGCAATTTTTCAACAGTATTTACAAAAACACTTTGTAGATATGGCGACGTTTTGTTCTTTGTGTCTAGTCTAAAAGCTTCTCAAGAGTAAATTACAAACTGCTAATATGTTTTATATAGCAGTTTGTAGTTTACTTGTACCTGTAGTGATCTCTGATGTTCTAAGAGTGGTTGTTGGTAATGTAGTTTTTTTGTGTTATTTGTTGTGTAATGTGAGAAGTAGTTGGTCTTCGTTGTGGTAGTATGTGGCGTTATTTGTTCTACAAAAAAGTGTAATTGACGCAAATATGGATAAATGTTCTTTTCTGTTGTTGAAAGTCGTAGGGCAGTCATCCTTCTGGAAACATGTATGCTTAACGTCATTCTTTTTGAACAATGGAAAAAAGTAAGTTTTTAGATATTTTTATATCTTTTAGGAATAGTTTTTGGAGACAAATTATTACCTGTGGTGATTTCTGTTGTGGGAAGCAAGGTTGTTTGTGCAGTAGTTTGGAGAGTAGTTTGACGTGTTGTTTGTTCAGTTGTTGGTGATGTAGTTTGTTCGGTAGTTTTCGTTGTGGTTTTCCCTGTAACAAAAAGCTGCCATTAGGTTGTGAATACTGCATGCTTTGAATAATATTTAACATGTGTGCCAGTCATGAAGTGTCTCAAGCGTCAGAACGACAGTCTCCTCTTTGAAAAGCCAGATACAGCTGTAACACCATCAAGTGCTGTAACACCATGTAGGGTATTGATTTTGATTTTAAGTTAAGGAAAGTATTTGCGTAACCACATTATACTTTAGATTGCAAATGTATTGTAGCTGTGAAAATAGTGAAAATGGAGTGCCAACAAGACTGGTTGGCTTTGTTGTTTTCATTGCAGTCTGTACTGCAGTGCTAGTAGCCATTTGGGTGGTCAAATTTGTGGTAGGGTTTATCGTTGTAAGGAAGGATGCTTTTAGTGTTGCTGGATGAGTGGAAATGGCTGTGACAAAATGTTTTAAAAAGTTATCGATATAAGTACCAGCTGGGTGTTGGTTTGATGATACCTAAATAGGGAACTCAAAAATGTATGAAGGAATTTTCAGTTTTCATAGTGATAAGTGTGGTTTTACCTGTTGTGACTTCTGTTGTAGGTTGCACTGTGGATAGAATCGTAGTCTTTTGAGTAGTTTGTTGTGTTGATTTTTGAGTGGTGGCAATGGTTGTTGGTTTGGTTGTTTTTACAGAGGTATGTTCGGTAGTTCTTTCCGTCGTGAAGTGAGTGGTTGGGCTTATAGTTGTTGGAATCGTTGTCTCTGTTGTTCTTTTCGTCGTGAAGTGTGTGGTTGGGCTTAGAGTTGTTGGAATCGCTGTCTTCTCTGTTGTTCTTTTCGTCGTGAAGTGTGTAGTTGGGACTTTAGTTGTTGGAATCGCTGTCTTCTCTGTTGTTCTTTTCGTCGTGAAGTGTGTAGTTGGGACTTTAGTTGTTGGAAGTGTAGTTCTTTCCGTCGTAATGAGTGTTGTTGGAACTATAGTTGTCGGGACTGGTGTCTTCTCTGTTGTTAGTCGAGTGGTTTGCTCTGAGATTAGACGGGAAAGGTTGGTTTTATCGATACAGTAATTATTGTAAGAACATCTAAAATGTTGATAAAGTTTACCTCTATGTACGATTCTATAGTTGTAAATTTTATCTATACTTGCACCTGCCTTTGTAGTGTATTTATAAAAGTCATATAAAAGAATCTGCAACGTATAGCTATATTACTTTGGTCTGTTGTTGTTATTTTATATACTGAAGGCTTATACGAAATGGCTAAACCTTATTTTAGAACTTTCGATTTTAGTTTAAAAGAAAGTATTACCTGTGGTGATTTCTGTTGTGGGAAGTATGGTGGTTTGTGCGGTCGTTTTGAGAGTGGTTTGATGCGTTGTTTCTTCAGTAGTTACGGACGTTGTTGGTGATGTGGTTTGTTTAGTAGTTTCCTCTGTAGCACAAACGTGTAATTAGAATAGATACTGATTTAAGTGACAAAACATATTCGTTGGTTCTGAAGTGTTATAAAATAGATTCATCAGAACGCAGATGTCTTTTTTGGGAACTCAAATTCTGAAATACCATGTACAATATTGATTTGAATTTGATGTGTACACTAATAAGTATTCGTGTGCAGTATGATATTCTGTTTTTTTTCCGGGTTGCAAATAATGTGTGATTATACCTGTTGACACCTTTGTGGTTGGAAGTACTGAAGTTTTATCGATATAATTATTGTAAGAACATCTGAAATGTTGATTTTGTCCAGTACCTGCTTGGGGTAGGATATTATAAAGTTTACCTCTATGTACGATTATGTAGTTGTATATTTCATTTGTACTTGTACCTGCCTCCGTAGTGTATTTATAAAAGTCATATAAAATAATCTACAACATATAGCTATATTACTTTTGTCTGTTGTTGTTATTTCATGTACTGAAGGCTTCTACGAAATGGCTAGACCTTATCTTAGAACTTTTGATTATAGTTTCCTAAAAAAAGTATTACCTGTGGTGATTTCTGTTGTGGGAAGTATGGTGGTTTGTGCGGTCGTTTTGAGAGTGGTTTGATGCGTTGTTTCTTCAGTGGTTACGGACGTTGTTGGTGATGTGGTTTGTTTAGTAGTTTCCTCTGTAGCACAAACGTGTAATTAGAATAGATACTGATTTAAGTGCCAAAAATATGCGTTGGTCTTGAAGTGTTTAATAATATTGATTAGAACGTAGATGTCTTTTTGGGGATCTCCAATGCTGAAATACCATGTACAATATTGATTTGAATTTGATGTGTACACTAAGAAGTATTTGTGTGCAGTACGATATTTTGTTTTTGTCGAGGTTTCAAATAATGTGTGATTGTACCTGTTGACACCTCT